TCCTTCCTTCCTTCCTTCCTTCCTTCCTTCCTTCCTTCCTTCCTTCCTTCCTTCCTTCATGACATTAATATATAAGTAGAATACAGGACATTTACTTTGTAAAATGTCTCTCAGTTTTGATTTGTCTTATGCTTCCTGAAGAAGATGCAGATGGCACATTTCAGGCAGCAACACCACAGATCTGATACTGCACCCTTAGTACATGATATGAGGAGGTAAGTGATGTTGATATATGATGTAAATTTTGTAAATTTTAATCCTTTGATTAAAGTGGTATCTACTTGGTTTCCCCACAATAGTTAATATTTTTCTCTTTGTACTTAATAAGCTTCTCGTGGATAGATCCTTTGCAAATATGTAAACTGGCTTTTACTTCCATAAATTTTACCCACTAATTTTAGCATCCATAGATGAGTCTTACCTGAAATAATTATTACAGTGACAATTGCTGAAGATAATTTTCTAATTTCATCATTTTTTCCTTTTCTCAGTTGGCTTCCTACTGTTGGGCAGAGCTTTTTCTTCTTCTCCATTAATTTATGTTTTTAAATCAGTATAACCAGCCAGCTGCCAAAAAAAAAATCAGTATGGACTCATGAATTCCTTTTTTATTTAATGGGTTATAATTGTGGAGAACCACTCAGAATGCCAGAGTTGGTATAAAAAATATGTTAAGCAAAAGACATTTGAAATTTAACACATCATTTGTGGGGGCGGGTAGAGGGTAGAAAAGACTTCTCAGAGCTTAGCTTATCTGACAAAAGCAGCAAGTTCTGGGAAACAAAACTGCCATAAATTCCTCTTCAGAGCCAATCTACTTCTAGAAGGGAGAACACAAATGCACAAATAACCTGCCCCAGATCCCTTCTTCATGGGGAATTTTATGACCCTTGAGGAGATGAAAAGACCACTTATAACAGTGTAGATAAACATTATCACAAACTTTATTTCCAGGTTGTTCTGAAAATCCATTTATCTTTCTAAAAAGCTACTTGTTTTCACATGAATCCTTCCTCCCCCTCCCCTTTACCTATTAAGATGATAGATAAGCCCCAGTTCTAACTACCCCTTTGAGTTACTCTGCTAAATTCTCCCATGTGTATGCATTTGCATGCATAAACTTTTTTTCCCCTTGATAATCTGACATTTGTTTGTTAATTCACAGGTCCTGGTAACTGAACATAAGAGGTAGAGGAAGAGTTTTTCCCCTATATAATCCTTTCCTATCATTATTTTTATGCTCAAATTGTCTCTGACTTGGTCAGCGGAAACCCCTTAAAGTTGCCTCCTGATAAGAAGACATTTTGTTCCATAAAATAACTAGTAAACTCTTTATTTCTTGAATGTGAGAAGAAATGCCTCGCCAGGGTTTCATTCAGGAACAAGGGAAATGAATCTGCAATAACAAATTTTCAAAGGCTATGACTTTGTTTTCACTCTAGTGAATACAGCATTTTTTAAATGTCAGTTTTATATATGATGGTGTCCTGTGATCACCCTCAGCCATTTGCAAACATAAGCTGAGAGAAAATGTTAATGTCAGGTCCTGTCAATTCTCCTTCCCCATATATGAAGTGTTTATATTCATCTTAATGGCTCAGCAACATGTGAGGCGACCCCAATTTGAATGGGAATTATATGAGGGGGATATCGAAGTGACTGAGTTTATTTAAAGTTTAATGCTAAACCCAAACGGTGCAAAGCCAAAGTTCTAACAGTGGCATATAAGAACGTCACTGCTGTTCCAAGAGTGGTCACGGACCAACAGCATCAGCATCCCTTGGGAGCATGGTCTCACCCCCCAAAATTATAGCACAAAGGTCTATATAAGCATAAAAAAAGATTTTGTTGTGGAAATTTTACTGGCATAAAAAGACAAAAGTCTACGTGAAAGAAAGTGAGCCGAAACGCCTGGTACCGATCAAGCTTTATTAAAGGAGGAAAATCTGCCAGGCTACACTCAAAATGCAGGGCAGCACCAGATGTGGGGGGTGGGAGAGCTGATATGGGCTGATACAATCAAGGAGGGGTGTTATGCTAATGTGGAAGCTATGCGACCAGGGTGGAGAACTGCGCCCTTGCAGAAGCAAAATGGTTTCTGTTTTGCAGAAGTCACAAGGCTTCTCGTAATGGGGTTTGGTGGTGAAGTGGAAAAGGCCAGCGGCTATTTTGTGTTTATTGTGTGCACAATGGCACCAGTCACGTCCAAGATCTATCACTATGTTACATGAAAAAACCCACATTACAAATAACATATACAATAGTCTCAGACTTGTAAATATGCAACATGCACATACATAGTAATATTTCTGGGCTTTAGAATTATAAATTATCTGACTTTTATTTTATTTTGGCTTACCTGTATTTTCTGTTTTTTTGTTTTTAAAATGTACATGTATTACATTGTAATAAACAACAAAATTATTTTTTTTTAAAAAATTATATACAAGTTGATGCAGAAGTCCAGAACACCAAAATAATTTTATTAGCATTTGCCTCTTTATTCCTTTTTGCATATTGTTTTAGTTAAGATTCTCTCAGAAGGAGACATTAAGTCAAGAATTCAGGAGCAAGTGACCTGTGAAGGGAGTGCTCCCAGGGGAGACCAGTGTGGATGAAGGGGGTGAAAGAGGATGGGGAAGAGAAAGAAGCCAAACAAGGGCTCAAGCTTTCAGATGAAGCCCCAGCTTCAGAGGAACCCGTAGGAAACCAGGGAATACAGGCAAAGGAGCTGGGCTTCTGAATTCCCAATTCAGTCAGTGAATAGCTACGTGTATTGGGGAAGGCTCTTCAGTGCTCAAGGGCAAGTCTATGAAGGTCATGGTGGGAACTATTAGCTGGAAAGCATGCAAAAGCTGGAGGTGGGTGCATAGCACAGGAAGAAGAGACACACATGTACTTATCTGTAAATTAACTCTTTGGTGAACTAGGTAAAAGTGTGGGTTTTGTACTATGCCGACCTGGATTTGAATTTGCACTCTGCCATTTACTAACTACATGTCAATGGATCAAGTTACAAATGGTCACTGAGTCTCAATTTCATCATTTATAAAGTTGGGATAATAATATGCCCCTCAATAAATGCTTGTGAGAATCAAATGGAGTAATAGCCTTAAGGCTACTAGTTTTATGCCTACACATAGCTGGCGCTCAATAAGTGCTTTGTTTTTAACTGTCCTTCAATCTCGAGCAGAAAAGTAAACCAAAAGTAGGCACGGCTATGAGGACCCAGACCTGGACAATCAGAACAGTAAAGGTTTGCAGAAGAAGATTCACTTTCAGACTGTCACTTGAAGTGATTTAAACATGTAGACATTGTATCTGCGTATTTATCTTGTTTCTGATAATTGGAAAAAGATGATCTGCAATGATTTGAATGTGTCCCCCAAATTTCATATGTTGGAAACTTAATCTTCAAATTCATATATTGACTGGAGGCAGGGCCTTTGGGAAGTAATTAGGATTAGATAAGGCCATCAGGGTGGGACCCCCATGATGGGGCTGGTGGCTTTATAAAAAATGAGAGAGCTGAGCTGACATGCACTTGTCCTCTCACCATGTGATGCTTTCTGCCATGTTATGACACAGCAAAAAGGCCCTCACCAGATGCTGGTGCCATGATCTTGGATTTCCCAGCCTCCAGGATTGTGAGATAAATAAACCTCTATTATTTATAAATTACCCAGTGTGTGGTATTGCTACAGCAACAGAAAACAGACTAAGGCGTGAATAATACCTATTTGCTATGAGTAATAATTACTAATCCCAGTAGTAGTGATTCCAGTAGATAGTGACTCACAGGTTTACTGTTTATTGTCCTCGGAACCTAACTAGTTTTCTCTAGAGTCTAAATAGTTTCTTAAGTTGGGTTCCCTAGAAATACAGGCTGAGACAGGAACTCTAGAGCAAGTGATTTATTGAGGGAATATTCTCAGGAGAAACTCGTCAGTCTTGAGACAGGAACTCTAGAGCAAGTGATTTATTGAGGGAATATTCTCAGGAGAAACTCGTCAGGGAACAAGGGAACCAGTGGAAAGCAAGGAAAGACCTAAGAAGGTTGTGATCTCAAGAGGGA